TTTCTTTTTCTGTTAATAAATATATACAGTTTGTAGTTTTTCTCTCTATTAAACTAAATAACTAACCAAAATAGAAAGTTGTTTATTTTCTAAGACTGTGGTTTGTATGACGCCCGCTTTGTATGACGTGTTTGTCATTTCCTTTCGATGTCATTATCAGCGGATTCCACTGTAATTTTATTTTTATTCTCATCCGTAGCTTTAAGTGGATTCACAGCATTATTCTTTAGCGGTGTTTTGTATGATTAAAATTATTAAAAACTATTCGATTTAGTCCTTATCGAAATTGATATATTAGCATTGAAAGTACATATGTTAATTACGTGTATATTGGAGATGTAAATTATAAAAAAAAAATAAAGGTTAGTCCATTAAGCGCGCCTTGCTAAGCGGTTTTGCCGTTGAAATTGGAAAAAAATGTTTCCGGATATACCGAAAGTATTATACATCAGCTGCCTTATTTTAAATGAAACACGCTGTATATTATTACAGTTTTGAATTTAGCAACTATTTTTATGTCTAGTATGTTAAGCATATTATTTTCTGCAGATGGATTATTTGACCAGAAACATTTTTTATTGGAAACATTTTCTTCCAATTTCAATGGCAAGACGGCCAGAAAGCAAGGCGCGCTTAATAGACCCCTCTATATGCTACCTTATTTACCTTTGTCACCCGTTTTATAGTTTGTTTAGCATGAAAGATCAGAGCCAAAATAGGGTTGCAAATAATTTATTGATGTAAAATCACGATCAATCATTTTATATCAAAATATTTCCAACCCCATTTTATTTCTGAATCTTGTACATATTGTAAAAAGAGAAAGAAAGGAATCCATAGTTTCTTTAGCCTTGGGTACATCTAATAAGTGAAGACTTTTGAATCGTTTTCTAAAAGTTTTGGATTATAGGCATTTATTAGCACACCACAATATCTTGTAGTTTTCAGTTTTACACAGCTGGCGTAAATAAATTCGATATTATTTTGCGGGCTAATATGTCGTTATTCATGGAATTTCGTGGTTCCTTGTTATGGTAGGATAAGTGGTGAATTGGCAGGTGCTGATATCAGTTTGTAACTTCAAAATTCCATGAACTATGACATTGAACCAGGAAAACGATATCGATCCAATATTTTTGATTATCCATTTTTAAGTTTAGAATTTTTTGGGCTCTTTTCAGTTAAAGAATTAGAAGACATTCATGAATGTCTCTTTGTCCCCTTTTTAAGCTTGCAATACCTTCAATGGTGAATGTGAGCAACTTTCATTCATCATTTTATATAATGTTTGATAGATAATACTAGTAAAACTATCAATGGCAAAAGTGCATTTTGCATTTTACAAATAGAAAATACATTTGGAAAAGTACTTTAAATAAAATACAAAATACTTTTCTCAAAAAAGTATTTAAATGCAAGATCAAAATAGGTACTTTTTATGTTATATTTGCATTTTAAATACAAGTATTTCAAATAAATCACATCTTTGGCAAGATGCTGTATAAGATATTTACTATGATTAAAAAGAGTGCATCTGTCAGCAACTTTTCTGTCTTTTTCATCAAGGGGTGCATTATCAACCCCCAAAAAGGCATGCTTTATACGTAAAATTGCAGAACCCCTGCTATCACGAACTCCCAGTCTAGTATGTTCTATCTGTTTTTCTCAAGCAAAATAAGCAAACATCTCCTTTTTATCTAAACGAAAATATGAAAGAACATTATAGGGATTTACCTACTTGTACAAATAGTTTCTAACTAATCTGATAAATTAATTATTTACAAAATTTGTACGATGAACCCTATTTTTTATTTTGTATGTGCATTTTAAATGCAAGTATTTCAAGTAAATCACATCTCTGCTCTGGATGTACGTTCCTTGGGGATTAGGAGTTTGGCAAGGCAATAATGATGCCTCAAGAAGGTGAAATGGACGTTAATCATTACAATAAATAGGTAAAATTTATTTTAAAATGTTGAACCAAGAATTTTCGGATTAAAGATTAGATTTAAATTTAGTCATAACAATCGAATCTTGTGATTGATTTTTCACCCATTATCCAGTTAAATTCAAAATTTAGAAGTGCAAGTGAAAGTATTTTTAAGCAAAACGATCGTATTTGCATGGAAAGAATTAAACGGCATAAAATAGTTCGTGTTTAGTTGAATCATTCATTTGATAAACCTACTAATTAATCATAAAGTGAAAACGGCAACCGGACTTTATACGCGAACCAAAAATAAAAATGTTCCCCTTTCAGCTTCCTGCAGAGGTTTAATTTTTTAAAATGTTGAAATATGTGTTTGATTTTATGTAAATGAACACAAATATCAAGTTTCATATAAATCGGACCAAAAACAAAATTTTTTAAATTTTATAACATGAACGTTTTGCTATATAAAAATACTATCCANTATTGTGTATTATTAATTTATTGTCAATTTTCGCAACATAAAATTTCCTGGCACATTATGCATGCGGTGGCGAACATATATTACTTTTTTTGTTAATAGAATGTCGAACCACCCGTTATTTTGTTAGAATTGTATGTATTACAAAATTTCAGTTTATTTAAATTTTTTCCGAAAAAATCAAATTAGCGCTTATAGCGCCACTACATTTGTCGACTCGTATCATGAGAGTTCATAGAGAACAAATATTCAAAGAGAACATCTATTAAAGATTCTAGGGAAGTGAGGAAGAATATAGTAAGAACAGACGTAAAATACATAATGTTGACTTGGTGATTTGCTTTTCCATCTAGGCTCTATAGGTTTTTCCTTCATGGTTATCTATATATCCGCAGCATAAATTGACAATTATTTATGAATCTATGGATTTTATAGATCTTGCTGTGTTACACGGTCTTGTCCATCTTCTTGCCATCTTTTATTAAAAACGACGTTACGTCGCCATTTTTAAAATTTTGAAATTTTATTTGCTTTTCGGTGCGTACTTTCATTGTATTTCGTGTTTTAATTGTTTAATAATGTAGTTTATTCGTTTTTCTTCTCAATTTTTACAGATTGATGATAAATAAGAATGGAAGAGTGTTCATTTTGATGCAACTGAAAAAGCTAGTTGTCTGCCATGTTCGTTTCATTTTGGAGGATCTAATCAATCACGGTAAGCATACATGTCATAATTAGTATATTTATTTGATATTAACTTTAGTATTGTCATGCACATTATTTACTAAGGAGGCTAAATTAATTATATCTGAATACTCATAAGATTTCATTTCACAGGAACATTAAAAAAAAACCCTGGATAGCATTAATTTACAGTGCCTTAGTTGTGTCTGCGTTCATTCGGTTCAGAAAGTAGCTGTCCTAAAAAGAATCACAAAAGTGCCTTTTTTTCGATTACGAACGAATACAGTGTGGCATTGCTGAAGGAAGGATTTATGACAAATGAACTGGTAAGTAAACCATATAAATTAAAAATATTAATCCTGGTCCCAGAAACTTCAATTTCTTAGGCATTTGTAACTTACTTTCATCAAACGACTTTTAAACAACGTTTTAGAAGTGGCAGAAGCAAAACATGGAACTGGCCTTTTCATCAGCGCGAAAGTTAGCTTCTAACTTTAACTCCACATTGCCACATTAAAATATTACTGATTTACTTTCTTTAAAAGTTGTAATTAACCACGTTTTCTTGTCCGTTTTTATAGATTGTCCAAGTGAGAAGAAATTACAGCTAATTCTGATGGTACTGAAAGAGTCGATGCTTTTGATGTCTTACCCTTGCAACATAATTTTGAACCTGAGAAGGGGAGGCATTTGAAAATTACTTTGGAAACGACTGAAACAACAACTTGTCTGCAGTGATATTCCTCCTGGATTTGGCTTGTTAATTCTACCTGTGGACCTTAGGAAGCTACTTTCTGCAGTTATTTAAGGTGAGAATGCATGCCGTTTATAATATTAATTGCTCTATATTGATCTTATGGGTTATTTGTTATGATGTAAATGACAGTTGTAGTCATTTTATTATAATTCAGATATTTTACTTGCTTTATGTTGTTTATTTTTAGGAGTGTTTAGTTCCTTCCTTAATTAATAGTGTAATTAATATATTTTTTTGCCCTCTCTGCAGATTGCCCAACAAATGAGTTCAGTTTGGCGCTACTCGAACAACCGTCTACATGGGTGTGGTCTTTTCTGGACTTTGTTCCTGATTTGATATTTTCATCTTCACTTCGCAACACTATGCAGTTGATTTTCGACCGATTAGTGGGAGCAACTAAGGATCTATTTGATTTCAAATGGAACAACAAAATTTCTGCTATGGTGTTT